ATAAATTTCCTTTTTATAGGAAATTTTCTATAAATTTCCTTTTTATAGGAAATTTTCTCTAAGTTTCCCTTTTATAGTAAATTTTCTATAAATTTCCTTTTTATAGGAAATTTTCTATAAATTTCCTTTTTATAGGAAATTTTCTATAAATTTCCTTTCTATAGGAAATTTTCTATAAATTTCCTTTCTATGGGAAATTTTCTATAAATTTCCTTTCTATGAGAAATTTTCTATAAATTTTCCCTTTTATAGGACATTTTCTACAAATTTCCCTTTTATAGGGCATTTTCTATAAATTTCCCTTTTATAGGACATTTTCTATAAATTTCCCTTTTATAAGAAATTTTTATAAATTTCCCTTTTAATGGAAATTTTTTATAAATTTCCATTTTATAGGAAATTTTTTATAAATTTCCCTTTTATAGGAAATTTTTTATTCCCTTTTATAGGAAATTTTTTATACATTTCCCTTTTATAGGATTTTTTTTTATAAATTTCCCTTTTATAGGAAATTTTCAATAAATTTCGCTTTTATAGGAAATTTTTTTTTAGGAAATTTTCTATACATTTCATTTTTTTAAGAAATTTTTTATAAATTTCCCTTTTATAGGAAATTTTCTATAAATTTCCCTCTTATAGGAAATTTTCTATGAACTTCCCTTTTTAGGAAATTTTCTATAAGTTTCCTTTTTTTAAGAAAATTTCTATAAATTTCCTTAAATTTTCTAGAAATTTCCCTTTTATAGGAAAATTCCCTTTTATAGGAATTTTTCTAGAAATTTCTCTTTAATAGGAAATTTTTTAGAAATTTCCCTGAGATTTTTTTTGTAAATAAACTTTTAAATAAAATGTTCTTAAAATTTCCTTTATATAGGAAATTTTCTATATATGTACTTTTTTTCAATGAGTTAATTTATTTTTTTTAGTAAATTTTGGGTAGATTTCCTTTGGATAGTAAATTTTCATTAAATCCTTATATATGCGGGAAAAGATTCAATGTATTCGACCACTACCTCACTTGTCATTAAATCATTTCAAATGAATAATTGTTGAATGGTTGTTGAATTGAATTACCACTTAAAACTCTTAACAATTCAATATTCCTTGGATAGTACTTACTTCCTCTATGTAGTTGTCTAATGTTACACAAAGTAGCAGATATACTTTTCTCAAAATAGCAAAACAAAAAGGTAAAAGTATAATTCATTTGTATCTTGTTTTCTCTACTAGTATTTTTCTATGCAAATAATGTTTTTCTTTGGTTTTTTATTTCTCTGCTAATGCTAAAAGGAAAATTATAGACCTTCCCACAGACAACCCTTTAACATTTTCATTATAATTGTTGTTGTATTTTACTTTTAACCCTCTTTTACAATTGAAGTTGTAAATATAATTTTGTTTTTCTAAAAAGAACTTTTGCAATTGTATCTCATTGATGGCGCGCGGTAAGTCTTTTTGCATTTGTGTTGTTGCTACATTAGCAATACATTAATTTCTAATGATTTTTAATTGTTGTTTTAAGTTTTATGTAAAATTTTCCATAAACTTTGGTAAGTTTAAGTCGTCGAATACATAAAGAGTTGAGTGAGTGAATCTCTGGTCCTTTTATTATGTTCCATACAAATATACTTTTATTTAATTTAAGATTCATTTTTTTTATTTGGTTGTTGTAGAGTTATTGTTATTGTTTTAAAATAAAGTTTAACCAAGTGTATAATTTTCCTTGGAGATTTTTCTTTTTCGAAAATCTTAAAAATAACATTAGCAACAACAAAAAACATACGAATATTAAATAGTACTTATATAGAAAAGTACATTTGTTCTACATAAACTGCCAAAGTATTTAGTACTTTTTTTGTTGTTGTTTGTCTTAAGTGGATTTACTAATGGATTCAATAATTCATTTAAATTTATTTCCTTGTTTTCTTTATGTTAAGCCTTTGAAATAATAGTAATAATAATTTTGATTTAAGACACTTTCAGCTAAAAAAGAAAAGAACAGAAGTGAAATACATTTTTTCTGGAATTATGAAGGGCAGTTTTAATATGTTTAACATACTTTATACTAGGCACTTGTTGGGGGTTTACTTGGACTGAGTACCAAAAATACTCTACTCATTTGCCCTAATGAAATGAGGACATCCAGGAATTGAAATATCTGAGGAGTGCGCAACCAAAGGGTCGTCCCTAGACTTAACCCTTGCGCACAAGAATATTCACACTCTCCTGACGTCCCTATCAAAATTGATAGATGACTGGACATTGAGTGAGACGGAACTCAGGTGGTCAAATATCACCATTAGTAGAATATCGAGACTGCTCTAGCCCATTCTGATAACAGATAGGACTAGGACTCTCTTGTCTCTTAGTAAGAACGCAATTATGCTTCTAACTGGTAAATTACAGATCATGGAAAAGAGATCTAAATAACATCTACCAAGTGCTCTTCTGGGCAGTTACATAGAAAGTGTTGTACCGATTACTCGTCGAAACAACTTCTATAGTAGCTATAACGTGGGTAGCATATACGTTCTAACAGTCTCTCTGCAAGTTGTGATATTTGACCACCTGAGTGCCGTCTCACTCAGTGCTCAGTCATCTATCAATTACGATAGAGTCAGCGGGGGAGTGTGAATATCCCTTTCCGCAAGGGTTAAGTGTAGGAACGACCCTTTGGTTCCGCATTCATAAGATATTTCATTTCCCAAGATGCTCCCATGTCCTAGAACCCATATCAACTCAACGTGATGTTCTGTCAGTTGTGCTAATGATTGAATATAATTGAGAAGACATTTAGACTTAATTACGTTGGAGGTAAGAGCCTTTATTGATACAAGGCTGTCCAAGTAGACATGTATAGTCGAATTTGCGAGATTCAGTTCTCGGAGTCTTCTCGTGGCTGCAATGATGGCATATATTTCTGCCTGAAAGACCGTGCAGGTGTCAGGTAGTCGAAGAAACAACAGAAGATCAAGTTTATCGGAGAAAATTCCCGAGCCCGTGCCTATTTCTGTCTTTGAACCATCAGTGTAGATTGTGATCACGTCATCCCTTAGAAGAAATTTCGCAACACAATCGTTCGTTGTCGGTATTATCGTTTTAAATGACTTATTAAATTCGGTGTAGGTACTATGTAGTCCGTTTACTGCCCCATGATTGTCCTGCCTATGTAGGATAGTGCCGCGACCAATACGATCATGCTTCAATCCGTTCGACTGTTCAAGTCGTAGAGCAGATTTAGCCGAAATGCATTTGATGTATGCATATATCAAGAAAAGTTATATATAGCATCGTCTCTAGACATGCTAATCGTTGTACCTTGCTTTGAATAGAAAGGTGAGTCTTGGTGTCCACCGCTCTAGACCAAACAAGAGCCCTGTAGGTCAAAATAGGTTCTATGACCGCGGTATACATCTAGTGTACTATGTATGGTTTGCCACCCCATCTTTCTCAAAGGATTTCTTACATATATAGAAGGTACATAGTGCCTTCTTCATTCGACTCTCACCACTACGTTTCCACGAGAGCTTAGAGTCTAAAATAATGCCAAGATATTTGGCTTCGCTTGAAGTATTCAGAGTGGTACCATCCAATCATGGAGGTCTGAATTCTGCTGTTTTGCGAAAAGAACCAGTTCGCTTTGGGCAGAATTGACACCCACAGAGTGCTGATCCCATGGGTACACTTATTATGGGAAAGAAGTTCCCTTGAATAAGAAGCATAACGTCGTCAGCATATGCGACTACTTTGAAGCCCATCCTACTGAGTCTGAAAAAGATTTTGTTTACGGCAATATTGCACATAAGTGGAGAGATGAGACCACCTTGTGGTGTGCCCCTTGTCACAACTTTTCTTTCCCAATACCCATATTAGAGTTACTCTTGAGCATGTTTTCTGTCCAATTTCTTATCCGTTGATCAACACCCAGGTCATCCAATGTATCGATTTCTTAAACGCACCCTCTATGTCTAAGAAATATGCCATAACACACTCTTTTAAGTCAAGTCCGACAACGTCGTGCAAGGCTGTCTCCACCGACCACCCTTTAAGATATGCATGTTGTGCCCCACTGAAATTATCAGGAGAGATGATGTCGCTGACATGGATATTAACCAATTTTTCTAGTGTTTTCAATAAAAACGATGATAGACTGATCGGTCTATAGTCTTTGGCGGTACTATGGTTCACTTTTCCAGCTTTGGGGATTGTTTAATTCCTCGATTTTTACCTGGTTGGAGCTGGTGCACTTTTGGTGGCCGGTGTTTGGAGCTGGTCTAATCCACTTGCGGCTGGCTAGTGTGCAGGTTGTAGATTTTGTACTGCACACACACACTTCTTGTACGAAAGAAAAAAAACAACCCTTATTTTGGCTTTAGTTCACTTTTGTTTGTTTTATTTCTTCTTATTATTTGTTTTAAATTTGGTTTATTTGTTTTAAGCTCTATTTAGTTACAATTAAATTTACTTTCAATTTTAAGTTTCTTTACTCCTTAGTTTGTTTTAATTTGTAATTTTACTTATTTCAAACCAATATGTCCGTCTGATAGCTCGATGCAAAAGTTAATAATAAAAAAAAGGAGAAAAAAGCACAAGCCATGTAGTTGTCAGCAAACGCAAACTCACCACACTACATACGATGTTGCCAGATAGTGGCAACGTATGTAGTGGGGTTTAGATGGGAGAGAAAAGTTAAACGTTTACATCGACAAGCAGACGACCATATAAACATTACCGCCACCCTTGCAACGGTGGTGCAACCAAAATTAACTTATTATTAATAACAATTTATATTTGAAAAATTAAATAACTTTTAAATATATTCTTATTTTATTTTATATGTATTACAAATTAAATAGGAATTCATATAATTAAATCACTAATACTGAACTACATAAGATCATCTTTCTTATAGTTAAATGAATGTAATTAAATAAAAAATAACAGCAATTTTAAATTCAATGTTGATTCAAACGCCTCGTAGGACGACAAATATATATATAACAAAAACAATAATTTCAATATGAATTCAAATGCCTCTCATGGGCAACAAATGTTTAAAAGTAAGACAAATTTCTAGGTTCTTTTTATGCCTTCACCGAAATATGCAATCCCAAAGATGGTGTTTTGGGCGTATATCTGTCCAGGACGTCTTGTAGCTGGTCCTAATAAAACACGGCTCATGGCGTCTGCTCCTAATATCAACTGATATGGGCGACTAATATGCCAGTGTACGTCCGCATTTGCACGATCAACTGCCCTTGGACGTGGATATTTATCAGCGCGGTCAATACTTGCTGAAGGGGTACAGCCAAATCTTCTCTTTTCCACTACGCATTCTACATTTATTCTTCTCTTTTCCTCGTGGCTATGGTATACCACTATGTTCGTGCGGCCCTGATGAACACCCAATTCGAGGCCGTCTATTTCACTCTGCATGATAGAGGATCTGGCTGCTGTGGGGTCAATTAGAGCACGCACGAATGCGTCCGTGGAAAATTTTGTTACCACTCGTACCGTCGCTGTCATCGGGAACCAAATACTTTCTTGCGGTGTAGGATGCAGTAAGGTGTTATGGTCCTGCATACAACGCCGGCACCGATCGATGCTTCTGCATTCTGAGCGACTGTGTGATTGGGCTAGACAATTGTAGCACAATAAGTGCTGAGCCACCACTCTAAGTTTGAGTTCCACGGGCATCACCATGAATTTGGAACAGACGCGAATAGAATGGTATCTATTGCAAAGAGGGCATCCAAATTCAGTATTGAAGTCCATATTAACCTGAAATTTTAATTGGGCAAGATTATTTTAAAGAAGGTGTTTATGGAAATTTAATCAGAGCAATTAGGGAGCAGAACTAATTTGTGTATTGGTCGAGTAATTATGCCATTTTGCGTTCTGAAATCAGCCACCCGAACTTTACCGTCAGGACCAGGAAAAACTTTTACAATACGACCTAACCGCCATTCTGTGGGACTACATGGTTCATTTTTTAAGGCCACAAGGTCATTTTCTTTCAGGTTGGTTTGAGGATGTTTCCATTTATTGCGTTTTTGCAGTTCTTTTAAGTACTCCTCTTTCCAACGGTGACAGAGTTCCTGTTGCAGAGCTTTTACTTTTCGCCACCTATTGAGTATATTATGAGCCAATTCTGTTTCTTCTGGATCAGCCGGAGTAAGTAAAGCAGAACCTATTAAAAAATGGCCAGGTGTTAGGGCAGACAAATCATCAATATTTTCTGATATAGGACCTAATGGACGAGAGTTGAGACACGCTTCTATTCTTGCTAAAAGTGTAGCAAACTCCTCAAAGGTGAATTTTGATTGGCCTACAGTTTTCTTGAAGTGTATTTTCAGACTCTTCACGCCAGCTTCCCACAATCCACCCATATGTGGGGCTGCAGCAGGGATGAAACTCCATTCTAAATGTTGATGACCATATTTTTCAACAGCTGTATCTCGCAGTTCTTTTACAAGTTTTCCAAAATTAGACTCTAGTTCTCGTGCAGCACCTACAAAATTTCTACCATTATCGGAGAAAATACGACTTGGGCAACCACGACGTGCTATAAAACGAGCTAAAGCGGCTAAAAACGCAGGAGTAGACAGATCACTTACTGCTTCCAGATGAATAGCCTTCGTAGAAAAACAGACAAAGAGACACACATAACCTTTTGAAATACGAGAGTATCTGCCTGTAAAACTTTTAATTTCGAAAGGGCCAGCAAAGTCAACGCCGGTATTAGTGAAAGGGCGACTAAAGGTAGTTCTTTCAATAGGCAAGTCTGCCATAATTTGATTTTGTAACTTTTTCCGGTATAATGTGCAAACTTTGCAATTGTGAATGACGGTTTTTATTAAGTTTTTTACCTTTAGTATCCAGCATTCTTGTCGAACAATGTTGAGAACTAAGCGAGGACCTCCATGATAAACTAGTAAATGCACAAATTCTACATATAAACGTGCTATCGTGCTATTATATGCAAGTATAATAGGATGACGTTCATTGTAGGATAAACACTTGGTTGAGCCAAGACGACCGTTAGCGCGAATAAGGTTATTTCTATCTAAAAACGGAGTAAGAGTTAATAAAGGACTACGAGGATCAATTTTCTTCTTTGTTGACAAACTGTTGAATTCGGTCGCAAAGTGAAATTGCTGCGACAAGAAAAATAACCGCTGACGTACGAAAAAAAGTTCCTGAGCTGAAATTCTAAGAGAGCCATAATTAAAGGACTTTCGTCTGCTCTTACTAGCTAGATTGTAAAATCTAAAGATGTAAGCAATTACATGATAAGCTCTGGGCAAACTTGAGAAACGGTTAAGAAAATCTTCTTTTTCTATCGATCTAGCAATATTAACTTGAACTTCCTTTGCCTCTTCTGAAGTTTCATATACTAAAGGGCCTTTGGGCCAAGTCGATTTATTCGATTTAAGCCATTTAGGACCGTGCCACCATAGGTTATTGTCTTTCAACTCCAAAGGCATCAGCCCCCGGGTTGCTAGATCAGCAGGATTATCACCAGATGCTATGTGAAACCAGAAACTAGTACTGTGGCTACTCTGTTTGCTACAAAGGTTTTCCAAGTACAAGGAGGCTTTCGTAGCCACGCAAGAACTATCGTTGAGTCGGACCACAAATATAGGGAATACAAATTAATATTCAAATTTGGAATTACACTTTCGATCAAATTTGCTAAAAGGACTGCTCCACACAATTCCAAACGGGGCAAAGATGGCTTTTTTATCGGAGCTACTTTTGTTTTGCAAACGAGCAAATTTGTATAGACGTTACAATTAGTTTCTACCCTTACGTAAATATTGGCTGCATATGCTAATTCTGATGAGTCACAAAAGCCATGAAATTCAATTTTATAATTTGGACTAAACTGTACCCACCGAGAAAGCTTAATGTAATTTATATCATTATATTTTGAAATGAAATCTTGCCATTTTTTTAACGTTAATGGTTTAATACAATCATCCCACTCGATTTTATCGAGCCACATATTTTGCATTAATATTTTAGCTGTGATCACTACAGGAGCTAACCATCCTGCAGGATCAAAAAGACGAGCTATAACTGAAAGAACTTCTCGTTTTGTATAACTTGTCTTTAGTCCTATTTTCTCAGCATAAAAATAAAAATAATCACCAGCTGCATTCCAACGAACGCCAAGCATTTTCGTAGTGCTTTTATCATCGAGCGACAAAAAGGATGAATTTAGAAGATGACTTTCGTGCAGATTTTTTAAAATTTGCTTGCTGTTTGAGGTCCATTTTCTTAACTCAAACCCTGCAGTATTCATTATACCAATTAATTGGTTTCTTGCCTCTAGAGCGTCTGATATAGAATGAGCTCCTACTAGAGCATCGTCTACATACATAAATTCACGAAGAATTTGTGAGCCAAGGGGAAAAGTTTGCTCTTCATCATCAGCTAATTGAAGCAGGGTCCTAAGAGCTAAATATGGGGCACAATTTACACCGAATGTAACTGTTTTTAATTGAAAATCTTCAATTTCCTTATTATCAGAACTACGAAACAAAATTTTCTGGAATGCTTTATGTTCTTGTTTTATATAGATCTGACGATACATTTTTGAGATGTCAGCGTTAAAAACAAACTCATAAAATCTCCATTTTAATATTAGAGCTACTAAATCTGTTTGTAAAATTGGGCCAGTGTACAACAAATCATTCAGACTTTTGCCAGTAGATGATTTGCAAGAGGCATTAAATACTACTCTTAATTTTGTAGTTGTACTTTCTGGCTTAAAAACACCATGATGAGGTAAATAATATCCTGAACCATATGACGTATTTTCAAGCATTTCCATATGTCCTAGTGATAAATATTCTTTTAGGACCTCATCATACTGGGCCTTAAATTCAGGTTTACGTAGTAGCATTTTCTCACTTCTTAAATATTGACTAAGAGCAATATGTCTATTTGGACCAAGTGACTTAAAACTGTTTTTAAAGGGCAAACTGACAGTATATCTTCCTTCAGAATCCCGAGTGGTAGTAGAGCGATATATTTCTTCACATTTTTTATCCTCTTCTGATAAAATTTTCTTATGAGAAACTTCCTCTAATTCCCAAAATTTTGTCAAATGGTCATTAATTGTAACTTTTATCATATGAGACACTCTTAATATACGAGGGGAAACATTATTTGGGGTTGGACCTGTAATAATCCAACCAAAAATGGTTTCTTGGGCAACTAAGGACTCAAAAATTCCATGTTTTACTCCACCACGAAGTATTAAAGGATATAAATCTCCTCCTAACAAGAGATCAATTTGATCACATTTAAAAAATTTTGGATCTGCATAATTTAGTTTAGGTAAGTTTTCATAATCTACTGGATTGAATGAATGCGTTGGAACATTTCCAGTTACACGAGAGACTACTAATGCTTGTACATTAACGGATAATTGTGGATCATAAACAGAGGTAATTACAAAGGATGCTATTTTAGATGATCTACTTATAATGTCGCCACCAAGGCCAGTAATTTCTGCTGAAACAGGGTTAGTGGGCAACTTTAATAATTTTTGCAGTTTTTCAGAAATAAAACTCTCATCAGAGCAAGGATCTATAAGAGCACGAGCTTTATAAAAAATACCACCATTAATAATATTGACCCAAGCTGTAGCTAACATAACTTTTTTAGAAACAGATGTGTGATGCGATTGAACTATTCCAGACGGACCTGCAATGTTTGATGATTGTGGTTGGGGAACAATGTTTTGAGAATTTTGAACTTCACTTTGAGAAGAATTAGTCTGATTTTGAATAGGTTTCTTTATGAATTCTCTATGCATTAGAGTGTGATGCTTTCGTTTGCATTTAGAGCAACCATTAGGACTACTACAATCGCCATACATATGGCCAATAGTAAGGCAATTGAAGCAAAACCTGAATTTTTTTAATGTTGATACCCTAGTTTTGTAATCCATGTTCATAAACATGCTACAAGAACTTAATTTGTGGTTTTCTTTGCATAATTTACATTGAAATGAGCTGACTTTAGTATGGTGTGATTTAAATTGTTTAGTTTTTGATGCTATTTGAGTAGCATTTGTTTGGGAACCACTGGAATGTGCACTGTTTATTGTAATAATGTCCGAAACACTCTCTAGGGCATGAAATCGATCAGTTAAAAAATTGTTTAATTCTTCCCATTTGGGAACCTCTGTCTTGTTTCCCACCGATTGTTCCCACAAATTAAGTGAGCATTCTGTGAGCCTCGATGAACATTGGAATACAAAAATTGGGTCCCACGAATTAATGTCTACATTATACAACTTAAGAATAGCCATACAATTATTTATTTCTCTTTGCAGTCTTTTAATTTCACAAGCCGATTCCTGTTGTCATGGAGCCAAATTAAAAAGCAATTTTAATTGACTGTTAATCAAAACACGTTTATTTTCGTATTGAACCTTTAAGTTATTCCAAGCTATATTAAAATTCTCTGCGGTTAGAGCTACATTTCTGTTAATATCCCTGGCTTCACCATCTGTTTTTCTAAATAAGTAAAATAGTTTCTCAACTGGGCTAAGTCTACTGTTATTTATATAAATTGCAGTAAACATGTCCCTAAATGTGGGCCACGATTCATAGTCCCCATGAAAAATACCCGTATCACATGGAGGTACAGCTATGGAACCACAAAGATTGGGACCTCCTGTTTCTGAATTCTCATTTTTTTTTATCTAAAAGTTTCTTAGCTTTTGAAATTATATTAATGCATCTCACATATGTTTTTCGTACTTGTGGATGCTTTGTTTGAACCATTATTAATTCCTTCTTTTTCTCTATCGTGTCAGCGGAACATTCATCATAAAGACTTTTATAATTTTCCCATGCCTTATTTAACTCATTTTTTTCGAATTCAAAAGCCTCATCTGTATAATTCGAAAAATCTTCACTTTTTAGCATTGTCTCAGTGCTAGTTATTTCGTCCGCTGCTATTATAAATTTTTCAAAAATCGACATATTTAAAGATTTTAGTTTAAGAGAGACTATTGAAAAATTCGAACTATATTTTTCCAATAAAAGAGAAACGACTAATAAGAACTACAAATTTTCATAACAATATCAAACTTAAAAGAGAACCACCGCTTTGTAACAAACAAACAGGTAATGAAGAGAACCACTGAAGTTTGCAATAAATAAAAACAACAAGAGTTGAACAGAACCACCGTTTGAATTCCAATAAATTTTCACTTTAATATTAAAAAATGTGGAAAAAAAAGATGGACGACAAATTTTTGGCTCTCAAATGAGCTACAAATACAAAAATCTGGAACCGAAGCAAACAAAAATGGCACCTTTTTATAACTTTTTGTTGCAATTGTTAAGGTTATCTAACCTCACTTTTCGAGACACAAATTATGGACCACACTTTGCACTTTTTAAATGAAAATTTATTACGCACCTTTATTTTTTTTAGGACGGGCGAAGGACCAATGTTTAATTCCTCGATTTTTACCTGGTTGGAGCTGGTGCACTTTTGGTGGTCGGTGTTTGGAGCTGGTCTAATCCACTTGCGGCTGGCTATTGTGCAGGTTGTAGATTTTGTACTGCACACACACACTTCTTGTACGAAAGAAAAAAACAACCCTTATTTTGGCTTTAGTTCACTTTTGTTTGTTTTATTTCTTCTTATTATTTGTTTTAAATTTGGTTTATTTGTTTTAAGCTCTATTTAGTTACAATTAAATTTACTTTCAATTTTAAGTTTCTTTACTCCTTAGTTTGTTTTAATTTGTAATTTTACTTATTTCAAACCAATATGTCCGTCTGATAGCTCGATGCAAAAGTTAATAATAAAAAAAAGGAGAAAAAAGCACAAGCCATGTAGTTGTCAGCAAACGCAAACTCACCACACTACATACGATGTTGCCAGATAGTGGCAACGTATGTAGTGGGGTTTAGATGGGAGAGAAAAGTTAAACGTTTACATCGACAAGCAGACGACCATATAAACAGGGATAAATACCAGGCTGCTCCTAAATATAATAATTAACCATGGCACGGTGACAATAGATTTTTGTAGTAGCGCTGGAAATGTACCGTCTGGCCCTGGAGATTTTTAGGGCATAAAAGATGGCTCCGCCCATTTTCATCATCCCTTCAACCCGGAAAGTGTGCCTCCATAAGGAGTTCCAGAGTTTCGGAAATTTACCATCCGGTCTTACCAAGAATCCAGGCGTACCGGAGTATTTGCATAGCACCTTACGTAGACGAGATGCCTCTGTGGTACTCTCCAGTTCCTCACAGAAACGCTTCCAAGACTCATTCTTAGCTCGTCTTGACCCCCTCTTGAAATTATTAAATTTAAATTATATGTCGTCCCAAATCGGTGTTTCTTTGAATTTAAAATGATGTACTTCTCGGAAACTTTTAGGCCAAAATCGAAGCACTTTCACATTTTATTATTTAATAATAAATAACCCTAAATTCCTCAAAGTGCATATTTAAAAAAACCGTAATAAAAACTGGACATTGTTCATGGCAAAACAAGTGTTTACATATATGAAATTTTACACTCAATGAATTTTGTTAAAAATAAACCCCATTATTTATTTGAGGTTTAAATGGGTGCTCTGTCCAACAACGTGGGAGTTTGTGTGTGTGTGCAGAACGACCAAAAAAAGGACAATTTTTATGAATCCGTATTTTTTAGACCTTATTTGTACAAAAATAACAATAGACTTTCAATGAGCAAATTTGTCGCTTTTTTTGTTAAATATTATTTTCATACTCCTTTATTATATGTGTTTTAATTATTTACAGTGAAATGAATTAAGTTGAACACATTTTTTTGTTGTATGAATGTGTTAAAATATATATATATATTTTTTTTTGTTATAAATGAGTTTGTGCAAATTTGTTTACACACATTTTCATAAATGAATGGTCAGAAAAACAATTATTCATAAGATAAATTTAAATAACCACAGGCCAAAAGGATCAGTTAATTTGCTTTAAAATATTCAAACACTGATTTATACACACACACACACACACATTCTCACCCATACAAACTGAATTTTATAGGTCAGTTACTTTTGGTGGTTTGAAGAAGAGAAATTATTTAAAGAGTTTTTAAAGTTGCATTTTAATTTCAGAATATCAAGTATATTTGAAGCTGTTCTTGTTACCCTCTTTACCTCCTTACCGCTATTCACTTCAAAATAACTTAAACCCAGTCAGACTTATGTATAGTCCTCATAACGTTCAATATGGCGTCTTTTAACTTGCAGCTATAATTGCAATTCAAAATGTATATTATACAAAATATTTATTCTTCTTCCTCCAATCCATATTGTCTAACATCATTATGATATTTGCAAAATACAACAACAATCATCCACATTCTATCGTCAACATCATCAATACTTTTCATACCAGCAGCTCGCGCAAATATCATCAACAGTCAATCAAAGTTTAGCGCTTGCAAGTTCATTATTACCACCGTTTTTCTTAGGATTTCTTCGAATACTTTCAGTTGTTGGTATTGTTGCCGTGGTTTTTGTCAGTGAATGCTGTATGTCGACGTTTCTACTGCTTATTTTTCATACTCAAGGAATGTTTTGTAGTTAAAAACTTTAACATTCTGTATATACGTACATACATATATAAATAATTTTCCCCTATCGCACAATGGGACTTACTGTCTAAGAATATGGCTCATAAAATTTTAACTAACAAAATTTGATTTGAACTTAACATCACTTGATTTAGTTTTGTATTCTCTTGGATCAAAATATGTCATCTTCAGTTCTAGTTCAGTTCTAGTTCAGTTCAGTTCTAGTTCAGTTCTAGTTCAGTTCTAGTTCAGTTCTAGTTCAGTTCTAGTTCAGTTCTAGTTCAGTTCTAGTTCAGTTCTAGTTCAGTTCTAGTTCAGTTCTAGTTCAGTTCTAGTTCAGTTCTAGTTCAGTTCTAGTTCAGTTCTAGTTCAGTTCTAGTTCAGTTCTAGTTCAGTTCTAGTTCAGTTCTAGTTCAGTTCTAGTTCAGTTCTAGTTCAGTTCTAGTTCAGTTCTAGTTCAGTTCTAGTTCAGTTCTAGTTCTAGTTCAGTTCTAGTTCAGTTCTAGTTCAGTTCTAGTTCAGTTCTAGTTCAGTTCTAGTTCAGTTCTAGTTCAGTTCTAGTTCAGTTCTAGTTCTAGTTCAGTTCTAGTTCAGTTCTAGTTCAGTTCTAGTTCAGTTCTAGTTCAGTTCTAGTTCTAGTTCAGTTCCAGTTCAGTTCTAGTTCAGTTCTAGTTCAGTTCTAGTTCAGTTCTAGTTCAGTTCTAGTTCAGTTATAGTTCAGTTCTAGTTCAGTTCTAGTTCAGTTCTAGTTCAGTTCTAGTTCAGTTCTAGTTCAGTTCTAGTTCAGTTCTAGTTCAGTTCTAGTTCAGTTCTAGTTCAGTTCTAGTTCAGTTCTAGTTCAGTTCTAGTTCAATAGTTCAGTTCTAGTTCAGTTCTAGTTCAGTTCTAGTTCAGTTCTCGTTCTAGTTCAGTTCTAGTTCAGTTCTAGTTCAGTTCTAGTTCAGTTCAGTTCTAGTTCAGTTCTAAGTTCAGTTCTAGTTCAGTTCTAGTTCAGTTCTAGTTCAGTTCTAGTTCAGTTCTAGTTCAGTTCTAGTTCAGTTCTAGTTCAGTAGTTCTAGTTCAGTTCTAGTTCAGTTCTAGTTCAGTTCAGTTCTAGTTCTAGTCTAGTTCTAGTTTCTAGTTCTAGTTCTAGTTCAGTTCTAGTTCAGTTCTAGTTCAGTTCTAGTTCAGTTCTAGTTCAGTTCTAGTTCAGTTCTAGTTCAGTTCTAGTTCAGTTCTAGTTCTATAGTTCTAGTTCTAGTTCAGTTCTAGTTCAGTTCTAGTTCAGTTCTAGTTCAGTTCAAGTTAAGTTCTAGTTCAGTTCTAGTTCAGTTCTAGTTCAGTTCTAGTTCAGTTTTAGTTCAGTTCTAGTTCAGTTCTAGTTCATTTCAGATTCTATTTCAGTTCTAGTTCAGTTCTAGTTTAGTTCTAGTTTAGTCAGTGATGCCAGGAGATTTTTTTCAGAAATCCCTACGCTTATGAGAAAAAATCCCTTTTTTCCCTACACCCACTTTTTATTTTCCCTACATTTTTCCCTACACTACTTTTTTCCATTTTTTTTCAAAGTTTATCTTAAAAAAATATAAAAATAGCATCAAAAACTAAAATATTAGCTCCGTTTTATAATATAAATATATGTATGTATTTTTTTTTTAATTTTTAGGAATGAAATTTCTAGAATTTAAATTTTAAATTTTTTTTTCTTTCAATTTTACATCATACAAATCTTCCAACCCTGACTCTTCAGTTAAGATTAAAAAAAAACAATTGAAAGATTTATGGCAGTATATCGAATCGTGATAAAAATTTATTTTATGTGCCTCCAACAAAAAAATTTTCATAAAATAATTATTTTAAATAAGGTTTACTTTTGCGTTTACTTTTTGCGGTTTACTTTTATAAATTTTCAGAACATTAAATTCATTTTTTCAATCCTGAGTTACTGCATTAAGCCCCCGACTACTCTATCTATAAGGAGTCAGAATATATCGCCCTACAGGATTGGCATAATCCAAAAAGTCGTTTCACGAAAAATGGATATGAATATTTAATGACATTTAACTATTTTTTTAATAACTTTTAAACAAATCAAGGGGTTTTAAAAATCCAGATTCAGATAGTTGAGGTTAATATGTTTCTCATCTAAATTGAAATTAAATTTTTAGTTGTCTAATATTCACAAAAACGTGGGTTTTAGTTTTTACGTTTACAAAAAATCGATTTCACATCGAAAATAATAGACATATTTGAAATTTCATAAATCTATATGAAAGATTTTAGTATGTCGCATGTTTTGAAGACCTTAGTTCAAGAAAGCCGAATTTTGGATTATGCCAGTCTTGTAGCGATATGTAGGTACATATATTGTAGAAATTACAAGCGGAATTTTTACTAACGATACACTTAAAACTGATTTCATTTTTAATTTAAAAGTTTAATACATGAAAGAGTATATTTTTAGTTGTTAAAAACTATGCATTTGAAAAATCCCTACAATTTGACAATAGTAAGAAATCTTTCCCTTTTTCCCTACACGTGAAATTTTTGAAAAAAATCCCTACAAAAAGGGAAAAATCCCTACACTTGGCATCACTGAGTTTAGTTCTAGTTTAGTTCTAGTTCAGTTCAAGTTCAGTTCAGTTCTAGTTCAGTTCTAGTTCAGTTCTTGTTCTAGTTCAGTTCTAGTTCAGTTCTAGTTCAGTTCTAGTTCAGTTCTAGTTCAGTTCTAGTTCAGTTCTAGTTCAGTTCTAGTTCAGTTCTAGTTCAGTTCTAGTTCAGTTCTAGTTCAGTTCTAGTTCAGTTCTAGTTCAGTTCTAGTTCAGTTCTAGTTCAGTTCTAGTTCAGTTCTAGTTCAGTTCTAGTTCAGTTCTTGTTTAGTTCTAGTTCAGTTCTAGTTCAGTTCTAGTTCAGTTCTAGTTCAGTTCTAGTTCAGTTCTAGTTCAGTTCTAGTTCAGTTCTAGTTCAGTTCTAGTTCTAGTTCAGTTCTAGTTCAGTTCTAGTTCAGTTCTAGTTCAGTTCTAGTTCAGTTCTAGTTCAGTTCTAGTTCAGTTCAAGTTAAGTTCTAGTTCAGTTCTAGTTCAGTTCTAGTTCAGTTCTAGTTCAGTTTTAGTTCAGTTCTAGTTCAGTTCTAGTTCATTTCAGATTCTATTTCAGTTCTAGTTCAGTTCTAGTTTAGTTCTAGTTTAGTTCTAGTTTAGTTCTAGTTCAGTTCAAGTTCAGTTCAGTTCTAGTTCAGTTCTAGTTCAGTTCTTGTTCAGTTCTGTTAGTTCAGTTCTAGTTCAGTTCTAGTCAGTCTAGTTCAGTTCTAGTTCAGTTCTAGTTCGTTCTAGTTCAGTTCTAGTTTCAGTTCTAGTTCAGTTCTAGTTCAGTTCTAGTTCAGTCTAGTTCAGTTTCTAGTTCAGTTC